ACTTTTTCGTTTACGTTGCTCATTCTACTTCTTCCTTTATTTATCCTTTTTTCACACAAAAATTGGAGATGAAAATGACAAATTTTTCATTCACACACTTCTATTTGTACACAAATGTGTATATACAACACATTTGCATTGAATTTTCGTTAGACATAGTAATAGATTGGATGAATGGCGAAAAAAAGAAGGGGAATTCGGGTAGCTAATTTCAATTTTATGATAAACTAAGCTTGTTTCCCATTTTTGTAAAAATGAGAATGAAAAAGATAGTCGTTATGAGTTCCATATAAGAGATAGAAATTCAAATTTGGTGGCTTGATGTGATGTATAATGATCATATTCCTCATTTTAATTAGGAAAGAATAAGAAACAAACAGTGGCTTAAAGTGTTAATAAGTTGCATTTGAAAAATAGGTCAAGTGTTTGAAATCTCTTTTTGACTAAAATTTTAAGAGGGAGTTTGGTAGGAATTTTTATGTGAAAATGCATTTTTGAATAGTAAATTGATGGAAAATGTGTGGTTGAAAAATAAGAAAAATTTTTTGATTTACGTGTAATATTATTTTAATAAAGAATGTGTGGTTGAAAAGAAGAGAGAGAAAAATGTATTTTGAAAAAAAAATGATTGCCAAACAGGGCGTAAGTATATCTTTATTTTGAATCAAGTATTAAGGAAAAAACAATCAAATTCATTATAAATATTAAAATAAAAAAGTAATAGATTGAAGAAAAAGGAAACACTTATAGAAAGAATCAATTTATAAATTTGACTTGTTAAACACTTACATTATAAAATCAGAAAATGCCAAAAAAGAAAAGAAGTAAAATTGAAGAATAGTTCAATAAATACAAAAATTGTCATTTAAAATAGTATAGTAAAGCCCTGTTTGAGAGCGATTTTCAGAATTAATTTTTTGATCGTTAAAAGAAAAGTGGGGACAACCTGTGATAGAAGAAGTCAAATTTTACAATTGAAATAGTGAAATAATGGTGCAAAAATCAATTTTTTGAGGTGAAAAATCATTCTCAAACACCACCTAAATTATAACTAAACTAAAGGGGAAGAAGATAATTTTAATTATAAATTATTGAGGCTCACCCATGCTATCTAAAAGGCATGTGCCAAATCACATCACTCTTTATCGTTTGGGGGGTCATCTTTTACAGCACTGTTGGATGTACAGGCCTACGAAAACTCACAAATAATGGGTCCCACGTGGGACCCATTTGTATTTAAAAAAAAAATCCCCTGCCCACCTCGTGTATGTAAGTGATCGGTACGGGTCCTGTACCTATACATGTATCATCACTCCATTTTTTATACCAAAACACAAAGCCTAAAATTTTTCTATTATCATCACTTTTTTTATTTTTATTTTGATGTTATACCTTACATTTCTACCATTAGTTATTAGGTTCAAAAACTTGGATTTTGAGTGTAAAATTAAATTATACATTTTCTTATATTATTCAGTTCAGTTAATTTCACAATTATCGATCAAAAGAAGTGTACCATTCTTTATCCATGAGTAAGAATGATCAACTGAAATAGTATAGTAAATTATAACTAAACTAAAGGGGAAGAAGGTAATTTTAATTATAAATTATTGAGGCTCTCCCATGTTACCTAAAAGGCATGTGCCAAATCACATCAACCTTTATCGTGTGGGGCTCATTTTTATGCCAAAACACAAAGCCCAAAATTTTTCTATTATCATCGCATTTTATCATTATTTTTTTTAAGTCCTTTTTGATACACATTAATATATTAATATAGAAATGAGAATGAAAAATATAGTCGTTACGGATCCCATACAAAAGATAGAAAGTCAAATGTGATAACTTGAAGTGATTGATAACGATCATAATTTTCATTTTAGTGGGCAAATAATAGGAAACGAACGGGGACTTAATGTTTTACCTTACATTTCTACCATTAGTTATTAGGCTCAAAAAAAATGGATTTTGAGTGTAATAGTTACAAATTTTATTATACATATTTTTATATTATTCAGTTCAGTTAATTTCACAATTATCGATCAAAAGAAGGGTACCATTCTTTATCAATAAGTAAGAATGATCAACTAAACAATATTATACCCTCCCACAAGTTTTATATTTTCACGACTTTAGTATATTTTGAATTCCACTTGAGTCAAATGTGTCCTTGAAGTTTTTAAAATTTTATTTTCTTATTCTTATCAAATGAGCAATTCTTTGAGCATTGGTGTCAATAAAATATTTCTTAATAATTCTTATAATTATTAATTACTTTCTAAAAAAAAGAAACAACAAAGATAACATTTTCACTAGTATTGAAATACTTATCCTAATTTGTCTGGAAATTGGCAGCAAGAAATAATAAATAATTTGAATTCAAAATAATCTTGTTTTATCTTAAACAAAGAAGGAAAATTTTCGATTTACGCGTAATGAAATTTTATGGAAGATTGTGTAATTAAGAATATGAAAGAGAAAAATAAAATAAAATTTAATAGGAGTCAAACGAGATTTAAAAAAAAAATTTCTTACTTTTTAAATTAGGCATTCTTTAAAAATTCCTTATTTTAAAACTCATTTTTCTTTGAGGGAGCAAAAAGTAGTCCAGTATTTAACGGGATATTTAACAAAATTCAAACACTCCATAACGGCCATATTTCGTCCTCTCTCTCCACTGTATCTATATTTTAACCTAGGAAAATCCACTACTTCTATAAACTCTCTCTCTTGTTACTATCTGGTTTCTATATCATAGCCATTTGGATTCAAGGTTCGTATTCTTCAAGCTTATATTCTGCTGACGGCCTTCTAAATTCAAATCCACTGTAAGAGTCCATTCATGTATGATGTATGCCTTGTCATTTTTATGAACATCAATGAATCGTCCTCTTCAATGTATTTCTTATTTTTTCAAATTTTTTATTGAGTTGACTGATTCTACTTTTTGTGCTGTAAAGAGTAAAGGAGAAGAAAATAAAGTAGTGAGATTTGGAGAGTAATTGATTGTAAAGAAATGGAGCCTTCAGCTTCACAGAGAGGGGGAGGAGGAGGAATTGTGCCTATATCTCCGTCACATACGCCGCGGTCGAGTGATAAGGCGGTGAGAGATCTGCGATCGGCTGAGGGGAATATGAGTGGGAAGCATGATAAGGATAAAGGCGTCAATGTACAGGTCGTACTGCGCTGCCGGTGAGTTGATTAACAGTTTTTACTTTGTATTTTTTGTTCGGGGATTGACTGGATTAAATGAAATTGATGACTTCTGTGAATTTTCTCTTTAGGCCATTGAGTGCAGATGAGATGAGGTTGCACACCCCGGTGGTTATTTCTTGCAATGAGAACAGAAGAGAAGTTTGCGCAGTTCAGAATATTGCTAATAAGCAGATTGATAGAACTTTTCAATTTGACAAGGTTTTCCACACTTACCTGCTAATATCGTCTTCTTAAATTATCTTCTATTCAATATAAAGTGTGAGGATGAGATAATTAATAACTGCAATATTTTGGTAATTGATCCCATTTCAGAGCTTCAAGACTCCGTGTTCTGCATTAAATAATTAAGCTGACTTTGTTGTTTTTTTATTATGATTTCTTGCATTTCCTGATTTTTTTCTTCGTTTAGGTGTTTGGTCCGTCTTCCAAGCAAAAAGAGATATATGACCAAGCGGTGTGCCCCATGGTCTGTGAAGTTCTAGCGGGCTATAATTGCACCATATTTGCCTATGGGCAGACAGGAACTGGGAAGACTTACACAATGGAGGGTGGAGCAAGGAAAAAGGTTTGGGTTTTTTTCTTTACAATAAACCATATTGGTATAGTATTTTATACGCTAATGTTTATCAACTCTGTGTTAGTAATTTGATTTTTCTTCCCATTTAGATTGGGGAATTTCCAAATGATGCAGGTGTTATTCCAAGAGCTGTTCGACAAATTTTCGATATATTAGAGGCTCAAAATGCAGAGTATAACATGAAAGTAACATTTTTGGAGCTGTACAATGAGGAGATAACAGATCTTTTGGCACCAGAGGAATGTTCAAAATTCACAGAAGACAAATCCAAGAAACCGATAGCACTCATGGAGGATGGTAAAGGTGGTGTTTTTGTTAGAGGATTGGAAGAGGAAAATGTGACCACTGCAAATGAAATATATAGAATCCTGGAGAAAGGTTCTGCTAAAAGGAGAACGGCAGAGACACTTCTAAACAAACAGAGCAGCCGTTCTCACTCTATTATTTCTATCACAATTCATATCAAGGAGTGCACCCCAGAAGGAGAGGAGATGATCAAATGTGGGAAGCTCAATCTTGTTGACCTTGCTGGCTCAGAGAATATTTCTCGTTCTGGAGCTAGAGAGGTCAGGATTCGCATAGTATCATATCACTGCTAAGTTGTGATGATATTTCACACATTTGTAAAATGTGTAGCTGTACTAATTACTATACTGAGTTAATAATATTTAAGAATTTGATGGGTATATTGTAATAACATTCTGCTCCCGCATGTGATGATGTAAACGGCTTTTGCAGGGTAGAGCAAGGGAAGCTGGTGAGATTAACAAGAGCTTGCTGACACTTGGCCGTGTGATAAATAATTTGGTGGAGCACTCCGGTCATATACCATATAGGTATAGGTTTTTATCATTTTCTCCTCTGTGTTACAGTACCAAAGCGTGTAAGTAAATGTATAATATGTAATTTATGTTGCTTTCAAATTTCAGGGATAGCAAATTGACAAGGTTGCTAAGAGATTCCTTGGGAGGGAAAACAAAGACATGTATAATTGCCACTATATCACCCTCCATTCACAGTTTAGAAGAGACACTCAGCACTTTAGATTATGCTCACCGTGCCAAGAACATAAAGAACAAACCGGAGGTCAGTACTCTTGGCAATGTCACTATCCACAAATGCACCGCTCCCAATTTCTCTGAACTGGTACTTAAAGAACGTGGTTATTATCTCAGGTTAATCAGAAGATGATGAAATCTGCATTGATCAAGGATTTGTACTCAGAAATTGACCGACTGAAGCAAGGTTCTTGATTGCTTTCTCCCTATGTGTGCGCGCGCCCAGCTTTTATTCATCTTCGGATGAGTCCTGCAAGAAAATTGAAATCTCATGCATGCATTTTTCTTGATGGTTTTTATAAGTTCCTTACAACAATTTTATGGTGAAAAGAGGTGTATGCTGCAAGAGAGAGGAACGGAATCTATATACCAAGAGATTGCTATCTCCAGGATGAGGCAGAAAAGAAGGTTTGCACTTTATCTAACAATGAAATGTATTTACCCAAGAGACCTTGACATTCAAATACTTGAATACTCTCTTCTTGCAGGCGATGTCTGAAAAGATAGAGAGGATGGAATTTGATTTGGAATCTAGGGACAAGGTACCATGAATGTATCAATTGCTCACCAACTATATATTTCTGTGGTTGCTATTAAAAAGTTTGACATGATACTAAACTTTCTGCATAGCAATTGGAGGAGCTCCAAGAATTGTACAATTCTCAGCAACAGTGGACTGCGGAATTAAGTGATAAACTTGAAAAAAAGGAGGTAAATTTTGTATATCTGCCTTTTCCAAAATAAGATACCTTTACCCTTCTGCTTGTCACATCAGTAACTACCTGTTTTTTGTCTATTATAATTCAGAAAAAGCTACAGGAAACTGAGCATTCATTGCTTGATCTTGGAGAGAGACATAGACAGGCACATGTCACAATAAAAGAAAAGGAATATCTGATATCCAATTTACTTGAGTCTGGTAGGGTTTTTATCCCTTGCAAACTCTTCGTTACCTTACTTCCCACTGCTAATAGTCACCAATTTCATGTCGACTATATGTCACCCCATGTACTTCTTATGTGTCATTTTTGGTCTTATGTTGACTCTTCTTTTTTCTGTGCTTTTTGTCCTTAGTATACATGATTCATGAATATGAAATGTTATTCTAATTGAAATTTCCCCAAGACCTGCAATAGGAAACATCAGGTTGAAAACATGAATTTAGGTGATGAATAAACGAAGAAAATTTTAGATCATGCCAAACAAAACATTCGTATATCCATTAAAAATGATAATCAAATGACATCGTTATGCCAGATATAACAAACTGTGTTGTTCAATATTAATTCATCAAGTTATCAAAAACAAAAGAAAAAAATTCAAGTAGTAGATACATGTTCTTTAGTGGGTTCTTCAGTGTCCATATCCTTGGTCTACAATTCTATCCAATTTTATCCCCAGACACCGAGTGTGCCTTAAATGCCCTAACTTTGGTGGACACAACTAAATTGATCTTATTCCAAATTTCACATGACTAAGCTGACTTTGCAGAATAGTGTCACTGGTCATGCATTAATGTGCTGCCGTTGTTTTACAGCTCACTATAATTTTCTCAAACCTGTTTGCATAAATTATACCAAGGCTTCTTGTGTTAGATTAGCAGTAGGGAATCCATCATGTTGTCATAGCTGTATGACTTTTTCTGTATGGTTATCTTCAATCAGAGAAAGCTCTGATCAAGCAGGCACTTGAACTTCGAGCAGAACTAGAAAATGCTTCATCAGATGTGTCTAATCTGTTCAGTAAAATAGGTATGCTAGTTTTGAAATATTTGAGATACTAACGTCTTTTCTACTGAAGTTCTAATTGTCCTATGATTTTCTCACGTATGGCTGACTTACAGAGCGGAAGGACAACCTAGAAGATGACAACAGAATTCTTGTCCAGAATTTCCAATCCCAATTGACTCAGCAACTTGAAATCTTGCATAAGACTGTGGCCACTTCGACTATGCAACAAGAACGACTACTAAAGGAAATGGAGGAAGACATGCAGTCATTTGTAACAAAAAAGACTGAGGTATATTTTACTCAGACAGTGAAATCTTATTATGTTACTCTTACTCCACTGTTTACCATTTACTATACTTCTACTAGGCTACTGAAGAGCTCCAAGGTCGACTAGAAAAGTTGAAAATAATGTACAGTTCTGGTATCAAAGCTTTAGATGATTTAGCAGGGGAATTTGATGAAAACTCCGGGTTGACTTTTGGTCGTTTGAATTCTAAAGTTTCTAAACATTCCTCAGCTTTAGAGGAGGTAAGAATTTATACTTGATCACTGTGAAGGAGAGAACCTTACTTGTTAAGCTTCTAGTTGATTTCGGTACATATAATGCAGCTCTTCAAAGGAATTGGTTCCGAGGCTGGTATGTTACTTCGAGATCTTCAAAATAATTTGCGCAGTCAAAAGACTAAACTAACTGCATATGCTCAACATCAACGAGAGGTTAGCTTTTGTTTAAACCGTAAAAAGAATCTATAGCAATTGTAGTTTCAATTCGAGCAGAGGAATTTGTTGACATTTTCATGCAATTTCCAGTCACATACCAGAGCAATTGCAACTACGAGATCAATTTCCCATATTACAGTCGGTTTTTTCAAGACTTTAGATATGCATGCTTCAAAAATAGGTGAAATTATGGAAGAAGCACAGACAACTAATGATCAGAAATTATCTGAACTTGAAAAGAAATTTGAGGTGATTAAGCTCCTCCAACTAAAACTTTTCTTTTTCTTTTGGGCTAACCTCCATCCGAAACTCTCTTTAACTTTACTGGGTAAAGATGCTTAACTTATTTTCTTTCTGGATGTCTAATTTTATGTAGGAGTCTTCTGCCTGTGAAGAAAATCAACTCTTACAAAAAGTAGCAGAGCTGCTTGCTGATTCAAATTCTAGGAAGAGAAAATTGGTAAGGGCACTTACTCCAAAAAAAGTGCTGATAATACTTGGATATGTACTTTACTACGTTCTAATATTTACTTTTATTAATCCTGAGCATCAAATAATCTGCAAATAGCTAGCAACAGTATCTGAGGGCATCAAGATAGATAAACAGACAAAAAAAAAATGTAAAAAGAACGAGTGACGAATTAATTTAATCGGTCTATTAAACTTCGACTGACTTACTATTACATGTTTTAGGCTAGAGAAATATTCTCTCAGACCCAAATGTTCTTGATTGACAATATGTTAGTCCAAATAAATCCTTTGAGCTCATAACTATAGCTTTAGTTAAGTTTCTTTAATTGTATGTTGAATGACCCTTTCCAATTCCACTTATTCTATCATTATGATCATCTGAATAAGTTGGTTTATTATGCAAGATGGATGATGATCAACTATTTATCTTCTGTACGTTATTCTTTTGTCCTAGGTTCAAAGTGCAATTGATGGACTTAGAGAAAATGCAACCAGTAGAGCTAACAGACTAAAACAAGAGTTGTCCATCATGCAAGACACCAGTTGTTCTATCAAAGAAGAATGGACAGCATACGTGGAGAAGGCTGAATCCCATTACCTCGAAAATACATCTTCAGTAGCAAGAGAGAAAGAAGATATGGAAGGTGTTCTTCAGAATTGGTAAGTTACATTGTCTCAATTATAGTTCCCACGATAGATATTTTCTAAATGACGTCTTACATATGCGCTTACGATCCAATATATGCAGTATGGAAAAAGCGGCATTGAGTGCACAGCAGTGGATCAATGCTCAAGAATCCTTGCTTAGCTTAGAGAAGATACATGTTGCTTCTGTGGATGAGATTGTCAGGTTAGTTAGTAATAACTCCATGGTTTTCAAACTTTAATGTTGATCATGTACATTTACCTACTTTTGTTCTGTGTATGTATTCTTATAGAGGAGGAACAAACACCATCCAAATCTTGCGTGGACAATTTTCTTCTTCTGTGTCATCTGCAGTTGAAAATGCAGACACTGGAAGCAAGAATCTCCACTCATCCATTGACCGTAAGTTTTCCATTTTTTTTAACGCCCATTCTCAGTTTAATGGTGTGTACGGTAGAGAGGATACGAACAGGGAAAAAATAATAAAATAAAATAAAAAATAACTGTATCTAACTAGGAAAGCCATGCAGGTTCCCTACAACTTGACCATGAGGCATATAGCAATCTTCGTTCCATGATTGTTCCCTGTTGTGGAGACTTGAGGGAACTGAAGAGTGGACACTACCACAAATTTGTGGAAATCACAGAAAATGCAGGAAAATGCCTTCTAGAAGAATACATGGTAAGCAAATCGAATGTGTGCATCAATATGATATATATATATATATATATATTTTTTTTTTTTTCCACAAAAATATGAGTGTGTACAAGCTAATATTTTCATTAAGGTCTACATAAAGCATACTACATGTAAAAAAGTTATGCATGTAAGAAAGTTATGGTCTTAAAATTACACCAAAATTATGAGTAGATCTAGCAATGAACAAAATGGAGTAGACAAGGAAAAAAATAAAAATACCCTAAATGTTGATTTTTGTCCAGTCTTTGGAAACATATCGGGATGCGAAAATCATTTTTCATATGAGAATTGTTTTCCATGGCAGGTAGATAAACCGTCATGCTCAACACCGAGAAAGAAATCCTATAATCTTCCGTGTACTGCTTCTATAGAAGAACTCCAGACTCCATCTTTCGAAGAATTGCTAAAGACATTTTGGGATGCAAAATCATCGAAACAAGTGAATGGAGATGCAAAGCATATTTTAGAGGCTGCCCATTCCTTGAGAGACTCCCGAGTTCCCCTCACAGCTATCAATTAAAGGGAGTGAAGTGTCATTTTATTGATTAGTTTTATTTCGAAGGGAGAGGACGGAATAATTGGTAGTAGGAAAGAGTAGCCCAGTTTCCTGGGATATAATAGAATTTCAGTTCTTTGAAATTCTGTGTGGTCTGGAGTAAACCAAAGAAAATTTTTCCCAACGCGTCTTGAATTGAAGATTTATTCTTGCAAACAACCAACCAAAATAATTGTGATATATATATTAACTGGTTGGGAAAAAAAATATTTAGAACTACTCAATTTATTGGTAATAAGCAATAGCAACAAAAACGACGTAGGTTATGTTGCGTGTTGTCACACCTAGCCAACCTACCTGGGACAATGACCCACTCATGACGATTCCCGGACATTCCTGCCGAGGTGGCACACAATGCCGAGGTCGGCTGCATCCGAACTGTTTCGAGCCGAAGTCCATCTACCGATGCTCCCTTTTGTCCGAGGCCCATTGACCGAGGCCTACGAACCGAAGCTTGGCTGCTGGAACCTGTTAAAAGCAGTTGAGGCCCTCAAGTGGAAGTATCATGACAAATGGCCGAAGCCCCGAAGCTGATGCGCGAGCCTCTGAACCACAAGGAAACGTCCTCCATTCTCACTTCTCCCAAGAGATCGCCTGGACAGATCTTATTCGAATGATTGATGGAACGTTTGTCACAAGCATAAAGGTCATGTCTTGTCACTAGTATGGAGGCCCTGCACAAGTAATAAATGCGCCGCAAGCTAGCAAGTCAAGCCCCATACCTGGGAAAAGATGTTCGAACTAAAGAGATGAGGCCACGTGCCACTTCATCCAAGGGCTCCCATCTCATATGTACTACTATAAATACTTCCCTTGTGTAATATCAAAATGCTAATGCAAGAATCAATACAAAGAACTACATTTGCTCAACTCTCCCTCTTTTTACTTGCAATACACAAATCGAGTTTATACACATTTGCATATACATCTGTGAACACCGGTTGGTAATTATTGAACAATCGAATTACGAACAACCCGTCAGATTCCGAACGTCACCGTCCCGCGTCATTGGGCTACTTCTACGCCCTTTGAACCGCTCGTTTTAGACCGTCCATGTGTTTTAGCATGTTGGACATTCGCCCACGCAAGCGCGGGTGGGACCGGCATCTGTTGGCGCACTTTTTGGGGTCAACAGGTTATACCGAAGTTGCAAAAATGGGTTGCATGAGCATGTTTGTATGTTGCAACTCTCAATATTTATAGTTGAATTTGAAGGTGAATGAGCATTTGATGATGTGATTTCAGGAGTAATAAGTGGATTTAGTTGTCAATGAAGCTTAACGAGTATTTTGATAAATATTTTGTTCAAAATAAATAAGTTAATTCCTTTGTGTATCCATTTTTCTTTAGTCATTTTCATCGATGTGTATTTTTCTCGGCTCCTAATAGTTCATTTTAGACATGATCAGACAATACAATAAACATGATTTTAGCTTTTTTGATTCTTAGATACCGTCAAGTGTATTTGCACATGCTCCTAAATGTATATTTGATCAAATGAAAGCCTTTGATATGTGAATATTGTGATATGCTTAAAACTGAATTCTGATTTCGAAAAGATGTGTGTCTTGTTGTTCCTAGAGTTTAAGCTTCTCCTTCCAAATAATCCGACAGAATTACCTTACGTAATTTTGAATAGCGTAACAATACGATCAACAGAATCAAAAAGATTAATTCGAGCCCACCGACTTCACGATATTTCCTTAAAACGAATTTGTTGCTTTCAACGGTGTTAAAGGCGTCCAACAATTGTTTTTTAGGATAGAACAAATTTCGTCTCCTACGGAAACAGCACAGCAATCTGCAATAGTTCCAACGAACGTAACGAAGTGTTTTAACTTTGAAAATGATATCAGAACGATAGAGATGGAGGATGAGATCCAATGCAGAGAATACTTGCAATGAAAATGGTGTAATTTTTCTGACAGCGGGGCAAGCTATTTATAGACTTGTTCGTGGCCATTCGAACATCTTTCAGAGCAGTCATCATTGTTCTGGCAGCCTTCAAAACTCAAACAGATATGTTCGTTCGATACTGCATCTGTTTAGTTGATTAACAGTAGACTGTTTAACAGACCATCCAAACCAAGCAAAATTACCCGAAAATAAGTCAAAATTAATTTCATTAAGTACCCGAGAATTTGATTATTTACAATTTGGCCGAAAAATTCAAATAAATTTTGTCCAAAAAGTAAATATATCGAAAGGACCCACCCGCACCCAAACACAAACCGGACTCGGACTCGAACACGAACACGTGCTCGTGCCGTGCTGAGCCGACCGGTTGGACAACGACGGCGACGGTGACGCGCTCTTGTAGGTTTATGACCGAACCGATAGGATATAGGTCTCCCCCTTCCAAAGACTATTGATACCCCTTGTGGCCCAAACACAATTCTCAAACTTAAACTGTATAAACCACACCGAAATTTCCTAACTTTCTTATGTGGGATAAGTGTTTGACAAATCAAATTCTTCCATAATTTATAGTTTCAAGTGAGTTACTTTGACATTTAATATTTCATTCAATTCTAAATAGTTTTCGACAAATAAATATATTACGTTAATCATCTCGTGGAGTAGAACGTGAATACACTAGGTCCCGAATTAATTAAAGTGTAGGTCCCATTAAAATTTGGGCTCAAATTTGACCCATTTCACAAACCATTTTCCAAAATCCCTCACGTTAATGAAATATGTCAGCCTTTTTCCTAACAACAATATCTTATATGTTTATCGAAGTAAACTTGAAGAAAACTGCATCGAGATAAGTAGCTAAAGACTTTGAACTTTCCTTAGTAAAATCTATCGAATTTACTTAGCCAATTAGTAGCAAGTTGCTTTGAACAGTCAGCGTGCATGTAAACCTAGACAATAGAAGTCACACAGTTCTCTTCGAACACAATTGGTTCTCACGTTTGTGTCCATTTTGACATTGGACGGCTTCCTGGTTCATGAGTGTTTTTAGAGAATTCATCTTCACTTAATTCTCTTAGAAGCGGTCCTTTCTCACCCACATAGGTGGTTTCTATAAAGAGTATTCTGCTATACTCCACTTGAACGAATCAAGATATAGAAACTATTAAAAGTGTAACTTAACATATTTCGCGATAGTTAGGCACTGGCTCATTATAGGAATGGGTAGGAGTAAAAATCTCCTCAGTGCATACTAAGTTTTCCACGATTCGGTTGTCCTATTAAACCTATATCTTGAGATCTTCAGTCAACCAAGTTGGGTTGCCACCATGTAAACTTTTGATTATTTTATCAGTTTTAATCTCATCCCCTTCGATGAACTTTCGACTTGCTCTCTTGTTAAACTTTTAGTTAGCGGATCCGCAATATTCTCTTTTGATTTCATATAATCTATTGAGATAATGCTAGTAGAGAACAATTGTCTAACGGTATTGTGTCTACGACGTATATGTCGAGATTTACCATTGTACATCGCATTCTGTGCCCTACCAATTGCTGATTGACTATCACAATGGATACATATAGTAGGCACAGATTTTATCCAACATGAAATATCTTCTAGAAAGTTTCGTAGCTATTCGGCTTCTTTTCCAGCTTTGTCAACGCAATGAATTTGAATTCCATCGTTGATTTAGCTATACATGTTTGTTTTAAAGATTTTCATGATACTACAACACCTCCAAGTGTAAAAACATATCCACTTGTTGACTTGGAGTCTTAGTATCTGATATCCAATTTGCATCACAGTATCCTTCAAGTACTGCTGGATATCTTGAATAGTACAATCCAAAATTTTTGGTATGTTTTAAATACCCTAAAATTCTAACAATTACCTTCCAATGATCAGTGTTGGATTGCTCGTATATCGACTTAGTCTATTAATGGAATCAGCAATATCAGGTCGTGTGCAGTTTATGACATACATTAAACTGCCAATAGTACGAAAATATTCTAATTGATACTTACTATCACCAGTATTGAGAACAAGATGCATACTAACATCCATAGGTATTTTCATATGGATAATATCATATTTCTTAAATTTATTAAGAATCTTCTCAATGTAGTGTGATTGAAACAATATGAGACTATCGGATGTTCTATAAATTTTAATTCCTAATATAACATCGGCCACACCTAAATCCTTCATTTCAAATTTACTTGTTAACATCCTTTTTGTAGTTTGAATTATGGTATCATTGTTACCCATAATCAACATGTCATCTACTTATAAACATACCATGATGTAACTATTCTGAGTGTTCTTGATATAAACACATTTGTTACACTCGTTAATTTTGAACCATTTGACATCATAATCGTGTCAAATTTTTCATGCCTTTTCTTAGGAGCCTGCTTTAATCCATAAAATGATTTAACAAGTCTACATACTTTCTTTTCTTTTCATGAGGCCACAAATCCTTCAGGTTGCTCCATATAAATTTCTTCATCTAATTTACCATTCAAGAAAGTTGTTTTAACATTCATTTGATGTATATCCAAACCATTCAACGTTGCTATCGCAATAAGCATACTTATGAAAGTAATTCTTGTCATAGGAGAATAAGTATCGAAATAATCAAGACCTTCTTTTTGCTTGTAGCCTTTCACGACAAGTCTAGCCTTATATTTGTCAATTGATCCATCTACTTTCATTTTCCTTTTGAAAATTCATTTACATCCCAATGGCTTATTACCGGGGAGGAATGTCTACTAATTCCCATGTATGATTTTTGTAGTATGAATTCGATTTCACTATGAACTGTTTCTTTCCAATATGAAGCTTCGGTCAATGACATAGCCTCTTTAAAACTTTGAGGTTCATTTTTTTACAAATATGTTAGAAAGTCAGGCTCAAAGTAGGTTGACGTCCTAGCCCTCTTTGCTGCATTTAAGTTGTTCATTTATAAATTCTTGATCTATAGCCTCTTCACTTTCATGAGATCTCTTCTGTGAATTTGATTCATTTTGCATATTATAAGGAAAAATATTTTTGAAAAATGTAGCATCCCTTAATTCAATAATCGTATTAATATGCACATCGGATATTTTAGACTTATATACAAGAAATCTGTACGCATTACTGTAGTAGGCATAGCCAATGTATACACAATCAATGGTTTTAAGTCATATCTGCTACATTAGCTAAACATTCACATACCTTCAAGTATTTATAATTAGGTTTGTGACCTTTCCATACGTCATAAGGTATTTTATACATTTTTCGATATGGTAATTTGTTAAGAATATAATTGGCAGAAAGTAAGGCTCTCCCCCACAAGTTCTGTGGTAATCTAGAACTTATTAATATAGTATCCATCATCTCCTTCAATGTTCGATTCTTGCGTTCAACAATACCATGTTCTGAACAGAATTGTTCAAATAGAGAATCATATTCACCACCTCTATCACTTCTTATGGCCTTAATCTTTTTATTAAGTGGATTTTCAACTTCTAACTTGTAATTTTTATACACTTCAATTGCTTCGTCTTTTCTTTTGAGTAAATACACATAGCAATATCGAGTACAATCATCGATAAAAGTGATAAAGTACTTATTACCTCCTTCAGTTTGAACAAACTTTAAATCACATATCTCAGTGTGAATTAAATCTAGGGGTTAGGTATTTCTTTCAACAGAACGAAAGGGTAAATGTGTCATTTTGGCTTCTACACGTATATTGCATTTGTGATTAGGATTTTAATCGCACTTTGGTAATAAATTCAATTTGATTAGTCTACGCAAAGTATTATAATTTACATTTTCTAATCATTCATGCCAAATATTAAATGACTCGAGCAAGTAAGAAGAAGATATAATTTTATTCATAATCGGAGGTACAACGATCATTACATTCAACTTAAAGAGCCCCTTATTCAAGTAGCCCTTTCTTACAAACATTTCATTCTGTGTAAGTACAAATTTGTCTTAAACGAATACTAACTTAAACCCGTTCTTGCTTAATAAGGAACCAGGTATCAAATTCTTTCGAATATCTGGCACATGAAGAACGTCATTCAAAGTGAGCTCCTTTCCACTTGTCATTTAAGCACTATCTTTCTATGTCTTTCTACCTTGGAAGATGAAGAGTTTTCCATGTAGAGGTATTCATCATGATCCATCGCTTTTTAGGTAGAGAACATCCCGTGGTTTGAGCATATATGATGAGTAGCTTCAATATCCACCCACCATTCCTTAGTGTTTCCAACTAAACTGCATTCAGAGACGAGCGCAGAAAGATTTATATCTTGTACCTTATCGGAGAGGTTGTCATGTTCTGTTACATTGGCTTGATGTGTTTTTCCCTTGACATTCTTTGGCTTTCGATAGTCCTTGGATCGATGTCCTGCCTTGCCACAATTGTAATAGTTACATTTGAACTTTTTGGCAATTTTTGAAGAATCGGTTTGTCATTTTCCATTGTGCTTCCTCTTTTTGCTTGTCTTTAAACATCCTTCCACAATGTTGGCTTTCGATTTCATAGAATGAGATACATCACTCCTCTTTCTAGATTTGTGATTGTCTTCTTCAATTCTGAACCGGACAGTGATATCTTCAAGTTTCATTTCCTTCCGCTTGTGCTTTAAATAATTCTTGAAATCGTTCCAGGAAGGCGGTAATTTCTCAATCAGTGCAGCAACTTGAAATGATTCACTTAGTTTCATTCCTTCGACATGAATATCGCTGAGTATGATTTGAAGTTCTTGAACTTGGGATGTGACAATCTTGCTGTCAACCATTTTATAATCCAAGAAATGATTGACAATGAATTTCTTCGTGCCGGCATCTTCGATTTTGTACTTGGTGTCCAAAGATTTCCATAGTTCTTTTGTAGATTTCGCATTGCAGTACACATTATATAATGTGTTATCCAGTCCATTGAGTACATAATTTCTACATAGAAAATCAGAGTACTTCCATGTATCAACCGCAGTCAATTTCTCAACATCACCGTCTTGCTCGGTGTATGAAGGTGCATCTTCTTTGAAAATTTTTGTCAAACTTAATGTTGTCAGATAAAAAAGTATTTTTTTGTTGCCAGCGCTTGAAATCTGATCCATTAAATTTCTCTGATTTTTCCCCTATCGTATTCGGGAGTGTAGTACCAAAAGTTGCAATTTCTGAAACACAATCAAAAAATAGACGATGAGAAGGGTAGAAACAGAATAAACTAAAAAAAAAAAATCATTTTAATATTGTTACTGGAGTATAAGTTTCTCCTTCCAAACAATCCGACAGAATTATCTTACGTAATTTTGAACAGGATAACAATACAATCAATGGGATCAGAAAGATTAATTCGAGCCCATCGACTTTACAATGTTTCCTTAAAATGAATTTGCTGCCTTCAACGGTACTAAAGGCATCCAGCAATCGTTTCTCAGGATAGAACGAATTTCGTCTCCTACGGAAGCAGCACAGCAATCTGCATGAGTTTTAACGAACGCAAAGAAGTGTTTTAACTTTGAAAATGATATCAGAACGAGAGAACGGAGGATGGGATTCAATGCAGAGAATATTTGCAATGAAAATGGTGTAATTTTTCTGGCAGTGGGGATAGACTATTTATAGACTTGTTTGTGGTCATTCGAACATCCTTCAGAACAGTCGTCACTGTTCAGGCAGCATTCAAAACTCGAACAGACATGTTCGTTCAATACTGCGTCGGTTTAGTCGGTTAACAGACTATACCAAGAAAAATTATATGAATTAAGTACCCGGGAATTTGATTATTTACAATTTGGCCCAAAAATTCAAATAAATTTTGTTCAAAAAGTTAATATAGCGCAAGGACCCACCCGCACCCAAACACGCGTACTGTTGAGCCGAGCCGATCGATCAGACAGCGACAGCGCGCGCATGTGAGTTTATGACCGAACCCAATGTGACTATTGATACCCCTTTAGGTCCAAGTCCAATTCTCAAACTTCCACTATATAAACCACACCAAAGTTTCCTAACTTTCCTATGTGGGATAAGTGTTCGACAAATCAAATTCTTCCATGGTTTATGGTTTCAAAGGGGTTATTTTTACATTCAATATTTCATTCAATTCTAAATGGTTTTCGACAAATAAATATATCACGTTAATCATCTCGCGGAGTAGAACGTGAATACGCTAGGTCCCGAATTAATTAAAGTGTGGATCCCACTGAAATTTGGGCTCAAAGTTTACCTGTTTCACTAATCATTTTCCAACAAGTCTTTGGACTCATCGAGCTAGAAAGGTTTGAACATACGACGAGCTATTGCAGGCCGTATGAAACAGCCCCATATACAAGCCATTTTCCAACTCATAATAGTATGTAAAAATGCATGGAAAAGTATTTTGTGAAATTTGCAATGCAGTCCATTTTATATAGGTTAAGGGCATTGAATGAAGATGGTCAGAAATTTAGGAAGAGATTCATCAACTTTTCTTGTAACAAGAGAAGAGATAATTAAAAAATTTATACTCAACAAATCACCACACAACTAATACGCGTATTCTTAGATTTGACTTCAATGCATCTCTTCAAACTCGTTTATTTTAAAAAATTTCCATCAGATTTCACGGAGAGAAAAATTTATACAAAATTGAGTTGGTTGACAATACAAACAACACAATCCAAAAATAAAGGTGAAATAATTTAAAAAAACAATTAAGATTTTTACTACAAATTAACTCACATCCATCATCACTAAACAATTGATGAAAGACATTGGAATACGCAGATTAAAAATAGAGTGACAACATTATTCTCCAAATATAAATGACTAAATATTGTAACTTCAAAGCATCAAGAAATACAAACAAACAAATATATAAAACATTATTTTCTTCTAATGCTGTCAAAAATTAAATTTTTAGTTAATTCCCACTCCCAAAAAATGGATTTGTAATAAGCAGCACCAATTTGCCCGGCTCTGCACCTGCACTTGCATTTGGAAAAAAAACCAGGATGAACTGTGCGAGGAAAATTTTCTTGAGGGTGCATTGCTGAAGAAGAAGAAGCTTCTTTAATTCTCAATTCTTCAATTCGATTTTTTCCTTGATTTATGAAATTTTCCAGCATAGATTTCAGTTGTTGCACTTGTTCTTTAATTTATTGAGCTCTTGGACAGGTGCTTCCCACCAACCTTTGACGGTGTGTTTTTGTTCGATTTCGTTTAAATGTTCTTCTAGTTTCTTTTCAAATTCAATTCTCTCACTTATGTCATCGAGTGTTTCATTGAGTGCATTAACTTTACTTCGAACATAGGTCTCAAAAATATCACTAGAATTGTTAGATGATTCTTTATGATAATATCGATTTACAACGAATTCTATAGTAGGATGAAAAAACGAAAATGGTTTTTCAGTTGGAGAGAGAATGATAATCCCAATATCAACATCACAAAGGGTACATAGCTCACTTGCCTTTTTAAATAACCATACATGTCGTTTTGAGAATGTTGCATAACGATCGCCCTCTTTCTCAATCTTTTGACGGCCCCGGGACATTCTTCTAGCCATTATTGAAGTTTTTGTGAGAAACTGTTATTTTGTGCATTGGCAATCTTTGCTCGATTGATATTTAGAAGAGAAAATTTATAATTACCCTATTAGGGATACACCATTATTGGATATTATTTTGCTACCAATAAATGTAATTAGGAAAAATTTTGAATGCATTGCATCGAGATTTAGATTGCCAAATCTAATCTTTCACAGTTCACACATCTTGCAATATAAAGATTTACACGGATTAAATAACATTCAAATGACAGTGCGTTACAATAGTATAATTTCTTCTATGTGAAGGCAAGAAATGATTTATTTATTTAAAATTAAAATCAAGACAGATAAATATAAAAAATCATTTAAAAGATTTTCCAAAATCAAATTTAAAATCTTATAAGATGCCAAACATAAAGAATGGAATTATGTATTCCCAATTCATTGGAGTCAAGCATGCCTTTTTATTTTTTATTTTTTTAAGAACGCTTGACTAATCCTATGTTTCCGTAGTAACTTGATTATATTTATTTTTATTCTTTGCTATTAAATGGCCTACAATAAATGGTCATAGTGACATCACTTGGTTGGGTGACATCTCTAGCCAACTTATATGCAAGAATTACATAGGCGTTAGAGGGGGGGGGGGGGGGGGGGGGGGGGGGGGGGGGGAATCCCTATTTTTGATGGATAGAATTTATTGTTGAGCGTGATGCTATCATAATAGTCAACATTGAAGCTTGGTTAAAAGTTGGAAGTATTCTAAAAATGATTGACAATCATCATAGGTTATGTTGATCTTCGAACTCGATAAGATCTTGTTGTCAATATATTTCAACTTATCTCTCATTTAAGTATACATTTGGGCATCTTCTCATTTTTTTGGATAGCTGGGCATAGATCAAGGAAAAGTATTGTTTTAAGCTACTAATTTAAAGTGTAAGAGACACCAAGGCTGTCCAATTAATTTTTTTTTTAATTATCAAAGTAAGTCATATATTCTCTTCATCCCATAAAGATAGACTCGTTTTCTATTTTCAAACATTAAATAGGGACATGTTAAAAAATTAAGAAATTAACTATAAACTAAGAAAGTAGCTTATACTTTGTAACAAGCAAAAAATGTAAAACAAGTTTAGAGGGAGTACTAAAATTAGTTAAACACTAGGTGAAAGCAAGGCATAGTTACATCCTTCCTACATGGCACAAACCATAAACAAACGCTAAATATTCAAAATGGTGGAACGAAGTCCAATCTCATTAGTCATTTGTTCGTTACTTCATAAATTTTTTGGCAATTCATTGACATTATTTCATACAATACATCTTTGTTTGATAACCAAAATTACACTCACAACTTTAAATTTCTCTCCTTTTCTTCCTCAAATGCCAACACTAAAGACGATTTGTATATCCCAATAAGGGTACCAAACACAATTTTTTATATGTAATTTCTTTTCTTTCTGTATATTAGTCCGATCTGAAATTTTTTTAATCCGATACTAGATCCATCCTTGCCCTTAGATGAAATTTTTGGCTTCCATGAAGTTTATAGGGGCACATAAATATTTATTGTGGTCTATTCTAAATATATGAATATAAATGAGTTCATGTATCTAACAATTAATAAAAAATTTCCTAAGATATTCATGTGTGTACCTAGTACATGAATCATTTGCTAAATTAATCTAATTATATAAGCATACCACGTTATACAGTATTAGAATTTAACTACAAGGTTGTCTTATTTTATTTGTTAATTATAACCAGACATAATAATTAAAAATATCACTTCCCTTAATGCAATTAATTTAAACAGTACATTATTAAAAACCACATCATCAAATTCTTAAATTTAGTTTTTAAAATAACATTTTTCTTAAAAAAAATATTGAAATCCATAACTTAATATATTTGTATTAAAAATGTTGCAATGTTTCAGAAAGTGAATGTAATTTTAATCTGTTTCCAAATATTGGTCAAGTCGTTTTATTAAATTTAAAAAAAAAAAAAAAACTTTTTCTATCATTAGAAATTTTTTTTTATACATTTTTAAGGTAAATATGTGTACATTTACGTAGAGATTTCTGCTCTTTGTTGACTTGATTGCATTTGTAATTCATGTCAACAAACGGACGGCAAGAACTTGGAAAAGTAGACGAGGAAGTAATTTTCCAGGAAAATTGCAAAGGTCAATGTAATGAAACACAAGCTTCAAATGTTCGTATTTTTGTTATTTTGTGTGTGTCAAGTCTTTTTCTAGTTATTTATATATTTCATTTTTAATTTTTTTTGCATTTCATTATGAATTTAAGGCAATGAAACATAAAAATAAATATTCGAAATGAGCTCGAGATCATGTTTTTCGTTCAAGTCCCATTCAAGACGAGGCAATGTGGGCATGTCGAAGCCACGGAATTTTGTCATTTCTTTTCATACGAGGATTTTGTTCTTGACTCCATATAATATGTATAAAACTGTAGAATAATTTTATTTGGCGATTATTAAAATTATAATTAATTTTTCTCTCTATTCTTCTTTCAATAAAATAATATTACACGTAATTTCAAAACTTTTCTTCTTTTTTAACTATACGTTCTTTAAAAAAAAAATAATACTATTTCAACAATTAAAATTTCAAATAATGGCAGCCAAGCAGCGCTTAGTGAATGTCAATATGGAATGAGGCAGTAACTACCTCTTCGTTTACACAATTCAAAAACAAATAGAATTCAAACACATCCACACCTGCAAATTGCTAACACCCCACACACACACACACACACACACACGGAATGGTGAAGAATGGGTCATGGAAATTGTTATAAATACAATCCTTGCTCCTAAACTCAACTCGACTCGAGTCATCTTTCTGCAAGTCTCTTACGCTGCTTAAAATTTCGATTATTGTTTCGAGGTGAATTCCTCAAACTTTGATTGTTGCTGTTTTTTGGTTCATTTTCATCTGTTTATGCCTTCCATTTACCTTATATTTTTCTTCAGTTTGCATGTTTGCTTGTTTACGTGTTGACTAGATAGAAATCGTAACTTTTGCCCTCAGTTCAAGGATCTTGGTGCTTAATTACTCTTTATTACGTTGTGCTTCAATTCAATTTGATGAAATGGGTTCTCATTATTAAGAATTCTTTGATCTAAGCCACCTTCCGCAAGTCAATGGCTGTATTATTCTTTTGGTAAAAAAAATTTGGAGTTGGCGTTTCTTGATGTCTTTAACTTATTTCTAATAATAATTCTCTTTTTACAGTTCTTGGTTGTTCGGACTTTAATTCCAATTAACATGGGGCTATCATGTTCATGCCCATTTTCCGCTTATAATGACTTGGAAGCTGTCATTGTGAACTCACTTAACTTTGGGAACGATGAAGAGAAAACTCCGGCTCGATCTGTCAGCTTCAAGGGCCAAGATCCTGAACTCACAATATCACGATCTATTGGTTCGGGGAAAATGTTGCTGGAAGTATCTGTTAGCTTTCGAAAAAGGGAGCACAACTTATTGGGTATGCAAGCAGAAGGTCAATCAGGTCGTATGAAGGACAATGAGACTGTTAATGAATCGTGTGGAACAGATCGCACCGCGGATCAATTAGCTGATTCTGCAGTTCTTGTTGAGCAGAGTTGGTGTGTCTTTTCTTGTCTCGTCTTTTTTAAGCTAGTGTTGGGATAGGGCTTGAGCCATCTCATTTGAAAACTAATTGGTAAATAAGTTCTTCATTAATTGCAGGAAGAACCTGTTAGATCTTGTAGAACTCAATTACAATTCAGTGTCATTCTTCGATCTTTTAAAGAAAGAGAGTGCAATTTCCCGCTGGTCGAGAGCAGGAAAGAGAGCTGCCATGGTAAATTTGATCGAATTTTTTTTCTACTTGAACCAATTCTACTTCTCTTTCAAGAATCTTATAATGCTCGAAATTCCTTTTATGCAGGTTGGGAAAGGCTTATCCAAGAATGAGAAAGGTCAGAAACTCGTTTTAGAACATTGGCTTGAGGCAGTAAGTAATATATTTCTCTTTATATGCAGTATTCCTCTCGTTTTCGATCTGTTATAAATGGATTAATTAATGCGCGCACAGTTTGATGTGCAACATCGTTATGGACACAATCTTCGATTATACTTCATCAACTGGTTTCATTCTTCAACGCTGGAACCCTTCTACTACTGGTAACTTTTTGATATTTTCCTCACAATTCAATAATCTTCCATTTTTGGTATTGAGAATCATACTTTTGATACCAGGTTGGATAGAGGCGAAGGGAAGAATCTAAATCTTGTCGAAAAATGTCCAAGATCAAAACTTGAGAAGCAGTGCATCAAATATCTTGATCCTGTATGTTCTTTCATCTCATGATCCTGCGTTGTTTTTAGCACTGTGTTTTGTACAATTTGTAGATTTCTTACTCATTGTTCGGTATTCTAACAGATGGAAAGGAAGGCTTATGAAGTTATAGTGGAAGAGGGGATGCTAGTCTACAAGCAGAGTCGAGAAATCCTTGACACCACCGGAGAACCCCAGGGCGTCAAATGGATATTTGTACTCAGCACCTCCAAGGCATTTTTCATTGGCCCGAAAAGAAAAGGCGTATTTCATCACTCTAGTTTCTTGGCTGGTGGAGCCACATCCGCTGCAGGGAGGATAGTCGTTGAAAAGGGTGTAATTAAGGCAATAGTCTTCGTTCTCGTTTATACACCTTTTCTTACAATTATACACAGCGCTTCACGGTCAAATAAATGTTCGAATTTTGTATTTTGACAGGCAGTCTCGCCTCACAGCGGCCATTATCGACCAACTGAAGAAAATTTCCAGGACTTCCTATCTTATCTCATGGAGAACAATGTGAATGTTACAGAAATCAAGGTAAAGTAACATTGAAAACTCATGGTTAGCTTAATCAGAAAGTTAGTTTCTTAATATAGAACAAAAGTTCATGAAAATTACTTTCGTGGTGTTGCAGAAATCGGTGGATGAAGAAGCACTTGGGCAAAAGGATCGTCTTCTGTTGAGAAATAACTCATTTGATAACTTTCCCGATGATATATTAGTGATACAAGATGCTAACATTGAAGAGTCCACCGTAGAGATAGTTGCTGCTACTCCAGCAGAATTATCTTCCCCAAAGCCTTCCCAGAATTCGATCAATCTTCAAACACAAAGGGAGGATGATTTGTTGGACCGAATATTGGGAAGAGATCAAACAGTTGAATCAAAGAATTATGGCTTCGTGCTAGAATCTACACTGGATGAATTAAAGCAGCGGAAAAATAAATTTCTTTGAAACAGGATTCCCAGCACTAACTATAGCGAAGAACTCAATTTTCTTCATTGATTTATTCTTGTATGTGAACATTGGAAACAAATAGGAATTGTTGATTAAAAACCTTAGGAAACTTGTATTTTTAGTTTTTTATTTGCACAGAAATTTTTCCTGAGGTGTATTAAGCAGGAAGTCCTGTAAACACGAGGAGAATTTAATAAATGACAGATTATTGCAATATTTGACAGTAAAATCCTTGTATTGGTTGTACAGTGCTATTCAATACTACTGCATACTAAAGATAGGACCATATTCAGACAACTGAGTGTCTTTACTTCATTAAATTCAACTGCTAGTACGTACACATCATATTTTGTGTTACAATCTTCGTTCAGTCAAGAAAGAAAAACACAATAAAATGTTTTCCAAGAATGAGGAAATATGGTATGGAAATTTATGGATAGCATTAAACTTTTATTTAACAACATACCGTCAGTTTGGATAATCACAGATGGTTATCTGCAACTGAGATTCAATCACATATTGCTTCACGAAAGCCCTTCTCCACCAAATTTCAAACGCCCTCTTAATATTTGGACAATCATCACCTCTGTTGAGGAATCTATCGAACCAGTTAAGCAAAATGGACTGCTGTTGAGGCAACGGCAGGGTGAGAATTGTCTGACTTAGTCCCTCCTCGACCAATTTTTTGTCAACCGCTCTAGAAGCCTGTCTCATCCATCTAAAATCCTCATAAAGCGCTTCCAACCAGGTTGAGAGCAGAGAAAACCTTGTCTCCTTCGGTACTAGAATATGACCTCTTCCAATAGCAATACAAAGTTGTGCAGTGATCTTGCTTATTTCATGGCGATACATTGTCGGGATCTTCGCGTGAAGACTAGCGAGCTCCTTCTGCTCGGCCCATAACTTTACAAATTCATCACCCATTTTTCTGTCGATCAGGATATCAACTACCCACTGAATATTATCAGCTTCTCGAGCGATTTCACCCATTAAAATCCCTCGATCTCGAGTGCTTTCATCTAAGCAAGTGGCTTCAGATAAGCAGAGGACAAGAGAACTAAGACATCTATGGCAAACATGATACAGTGCATCCCTTGAGATATCAGGCCTGTCCACAGTCTCTTCTCTAAGCAATTGAGCTATCAATATTTTCATTTCTCTTCGGGCTTTATCATTTTTGGCCTGCAACATACCAGCCGACAATTTCAAGAATATATCATCGGCTCTTGAAGAAGTTGAAGGCTCGGCTATTACTCTCTGAAGCACGTCGTCTGTCCTTGAGTCATTGAGCTGAAGTTGATTGAGATGTGACACGACTCTTTCCTCTTCTTTCTCAGACCAAGGTACCGCTTCTAGATACTCAAGACATGCAATTGTCCCATCATCAAATAAGAAGGCTGAAAAGACCTAAAAATGAAGAGGAACTCTAATCTTAGAGAACACTTAATGTACGCTTGGTAAAAAGCATAGAATGGTACTCGACAGTATAATGCACAAAATTTCAATTCAATTTTCATCCTTAATACAGTGCAACATTTCTAATTTACCTTACCAAAATTGCACGTGGTGTACGGTGAACTTGGGCGGGCCTAATTATCCTCAAAGTCATTTAATTACTGATATCTGTATTAGTATACCCTTCGCTCTTTGATGTTTACCCCCATTAAATCAATTCTTTTCTAGACTAGACTCTCATTATTCCGTAAATACGAGCACAATACAGCTTTCTACACAATCAAGTTGATCATCAATTTGATCCAGGGAAAGAGATAAATAACAGATGATATCCAAGGCCATCAATATACTACAAAATTGTCTCAGATTGTCAAGCAAAAGCCTAGTTACTCTTCCACTCCGACAACTGGTCATATTTTCGAATAACTCTAGGGTTCGTCATTTAGACAATTATCATTTTCTGCGGTTGAAAAAGCCAAATTACAAAGTTACAAGAAGACAAAAACAGAAAATTTCCAAGAAAAGGGCAAATCAAATGCTTTCCACAGCAAAAATTCATTAACTTTTTTTGTTTTGCTAATAAACTAGATTGCTCCATCAAAATATACCGAAATAAACTACAATTTATAAAGAAACGGAAAAGGGAGAATCTAAGAACAGTTAAGCAATAATAGATAAAAAGAGAGAAACCTTTAAGAGGGCCAAGATCTTGGAAACCTCCATACCCATGAGCCTAGTCTTTAAATCCTCACAGTATATAAGTACCACTGCATGTACATACACCTCCACGTCATCACATTCAAGAATTTCGACGGAATGGGTCCCACTTCGCCGGAGCTTCTCTGCAAAAAACCGGCTTTTTGCGGCGAGCACCCTTCGGTGCAAGTCCATCGACACACGAAACGCCGCCGTTTCCGCACCTCCATCCGGCTCCCTTTCCCGGGACGCTATAGTGAGCCTGACGTCACCCGTCCCCCAATCATTGCCACTATTCACGTTATGAAATGGGGATTGGGACAATATTGCAGAAATTCTTTCTCTGAGCTTCTTGTGGGCTTCGGATTGCGGTTTGGGCTCGCGGGCCTGTTCGAGGGACATCATCTCGAAGAGGGTCGGACTCTGATTCGGATTTGGCGAGCGGGTGGGGCTAGTGAGGGGCCGGAAAGTTGGGGGAGGAGAGAGAAAGGGGTCGGAAATGAAGCCTTGCTTTATCATTGTAGAGACGAGTTGTTGTTGATTTCTTGAAGATGATTTATGGTGGGTATTGCTATCTGATGCCATTAAATTGAATTGATGTCAGGTGTGTGTTTGCGTGGGTGATAGTGTGCGTGTGCGTGGGGGGGAATCCAAGAAAATAATGCAAGAAGGCAATGTTGGATCTGAAGTTCTGCTCGGGACAGAGAGTAAAGTTTGTGTGTGTCTATAGGGGATGAGGTGGTATAGGGAGTAGGGTTTAGGGACAAAGAGGATAGTATGAGTGGGAGTGAGGGTAAGGAGAAAGTTGAGACTTACCAATCTTAACAATATTGAAATCATGTAATCAGATTCGTTTGTATTATATTAAGATTTGACTAACCATCTTAAATTGTCAATCTTATTAAAAAAAGTAGTTTATATCATTATATGTTAATCAATATTTTGATAATCGATCGATGTGAAATTTATAACTTAACGTTAAATGAGGTTGAGATGATCTTCACTTTCTCTGTGGTTGAATTCAATGCGTAAAGCCTTTGCTAAGCAAGTCACTTCGCTGCATTTGGTCAGTCAAGTCGCCAAAGTAGCGATAATAATCAAAAGTGGAGTTAATGCTACACAAAAAGGGAAACCTTAGTAATATTAGGTGGGCTTGGATTGCCCCCATTCAGACTCGATCCTGGGGACGAGACCATTGAGGCCTGCGCCTCAGGCCCAAGACTAAAAGGGGGTATATTTTTGCCCAGTATTTTTTTTTTGTTTTTTTTTTTTTTGGGGTTCCAAAACAATACCAATCCCAAATGCAATAGCCTACAACCCATTTACCCTTACCAACCCAACTTATATATCCAATTATCCACAATCCAAAATTCAATCCCAAGACCCAAAATTCCCAAATTTCAAATTCCATCCCATGGCTTACGGCTGCTCTTTGGTTGAACCTTCAAAATCTCTTCAGTCGTCTCTGCAACTCCGGTCACTTCGCCAAGCGTCGTCCGCCTCCGCTTGTCCACTCCATGCACCGTTCACCTTTGTGCCAAACAACTTCTTGTTCTCCTTTCTTCGGTTTGTTTCTAAATTTTCCCATTGATTTGATGAATTTTATCAACTGAGTTGTCTTCATTATATGTATAAGTGATTGTTAGATTTGTAGAATTTCGTATATTTGATTATTTGTTGATAAAAGTCTTTGGTTTCTATTAGTCTATAATGTCTATTACGGTTAGTCGGTGACACAGTATTACCCTATGTCCCTGTCCAAGTAACATTTTCAGCTTTCACTTTATAGCAAAAGCCAAAGTCTAGCTAGAAATTGATTTGGATAACTTTCTGCTTTCACTTTTCAGGCCTTTCAAGTTAATGAATTTGATAACTTAATTGAATGAATTGATTTGGATAACTTCTTACAAAGCGACAATGCCCTAAATTTAATTTTACTTAAATTTGATAATGTGTAAGTTAAAGTATAATAATCAGGGGCGGACCAGACAAATTGGGTTAGGGGGTCAAAAATAAAATTTATAAGGTATCTTCTAATAAAAAAAAGATAAACAAAAATTTTCTTTTTTCCAAAATCTAGAGGGTCAATTGACCCTATAATCTCCCCGTTGGTCCGCCCATGATCATAATGACTATTTAGAAATAAATAGCACAATCAATTTTGTGACACATCACAAATATAAAAGGATTTTAAGTAGTGTATAAATCTTTAGTCAATTATGTCAATTTCTTAATTTGCACTTCCACACTTGGCACACGTTCATTCACTCTATGATTAAAATCTTTAATTTTATTTAAATTTTTATTTCAGGCTCGTGAGTTGTGACGGTGGAATTCTCAAAGGTATAATTCCACAAATTTCGTCGAAAATCCACTTCTCAAGTAAGTAATAGCTTGCTCTAACTTGTTATTGAAGAGATTGGAAATATTTGAAATCTTGTCGGCTTATATAATTGTGGCCTGGTCGGCTTACATGATTGTTGCTCTAATGTTAATTTTAAGTTAGCAATAGGTCGAATAATACATCGTTGAATTTTGCATTTACGTTGATTTTGTCGGGGGCCCAATTTATGAATTTCACATCGGGCTCTGACAATTACAAAATCGGCCCTAGCCCCATTGCCTCCGCCCGTGATGATGAAGATTGCTTGCTACTGAAGTCTCACAAGGGATTCAATAGTTATGTTGTTGTATATTGAGTCGCATGTGATTAAATTGTCCATGAAAGAGAGGACACCACGAATTGAATCTCGTAAATTAAAATAACTCTATTTAACTTATTTAGTCCATGTTTGGGAGCACTATTTCACTCATTTTTTGCACAATTTTGAATGCAATGTCAAGCGTAACATACTCAAATCACTTTTAGATTTTATTCTCAATGCCTATTTTAAGGTAACAATTGATTCAAGCCTTCAACCACCATTTTTTTAACTGATTCAAATGGTTGTAATGACAATTTACATGAATTTATTGAATCAGCTATCTTTTTTTTTTTTTTAATTCTAGAACTGTACAGAAATAATAGAATAATAAATTTAAAATAGTTATATACTTTTTTTGGGCATAGTACTTTGTCGGAGCAAAGAGTGTAGCAAGTAGTGTGTGTTGGTTGGTGAAGGTAGGGGTAGTTAGGTTTAATTGAGGGCTCAAAAAAGGCACGAATATGGGGCATTTAGGTTTAATGTGGACACGAATATGTAGGGATATCAAACGGACCGGGCGGCCGAAATTGAGGGCTCAAAAAAGGCACGAATATGGGGCATTTAGGTTTAATGTGGACACGAATATGTAGGGATATCAAACGGACCGGGCGGCCGAAATTGAGGGCTCAAAAAAGGCACGAATATGGGGCAGTTAGGTTTAATGTGGACACGAATATGTAGGGATGTCAAACAGGCCGAGCGACTTGTTTGCTCGGCTTCTCGGCTCGGGCTCGTCAAATGACAAGCCTAAGTCGAGCTGGGGGCTCTATCCCAGGCTCGGCTCATCGACCCCACAAGCCCAAAAATGTGAATTTTTTTTTATAAAAAATGTGCAAAAAAAAAAAGAGCTCGTGGGCCGAGCTGAGCTTGTCCCCGAGCAACAAGCCGAGCCCGTGGTTTAAAGGGTCGAGCCGGCTCTGCTTGGCCCATTGCCATCACTGAATATGGGAACCTGAAAATTGTCAGCCAGGTTGAGGTATTTTTCTTTTGCTTTTTTCATTTTTTATTTTTTGGTGGTAGGTGAGGGATGGGGTGAGGTGGCGTGGGAATGCCACTCTTCTTGGGCTTCATGTTGATATAGGCTTGTAGCACTCCACAAAGGAATGGAGGTTATCAATTTATATGCAAAATCCATAAAAAGTTTGGGCTCAAAGGCATTAGAAATTCGCAAATGCACACGATATGAACATCTTCTTGTTGAAGTCTAACTTTTACAATATAATAACAACAGGAAAAATCCATCCATCTCTACTTTTGATGAAGTTCTTTTGTTTCAATTTCCTTCTTAATAACATCATTTACCCCATTAGTTAGTCATTTTATACGGCGCAATGCGAATGTGTCTCTCATTCTTAGCCTCTGATGTGCTTTTTTGCACTTTTCAAGATAGTCACTGATTAGGTGAACAATTGAACTTTTGCATCACAACAATTAACATATGTGAAAGAAAGGGTATAGAATTTGAAACATTAGACAACACGTCCTTTAAATGTAAATGAACGTTCATTACAGAAATGCCAACTACAAATCTAGATTTTCGCAAATATGACCATGATCACCTTCAACGTAAATGCAAAGGTGGGCAAACAGGCTGAAATCTAATGCCTCCATGAATGGAGCTTTTATGGTCTGGTCAAACTTCCTGATCAAAATATGCAAGTGTCAAAGTTCAAAAGCCAGTAGAATGGCCTGTACACGTTTGGAACTATTTTCATATCAGGTACTATCCAATACTGTCATATATGGGCGAGTGTGAAATACCGTATAAGAATAGAGAAGTAGAAGAACAAACCTTTTAAAATACATTTTTTTTTGTTAATCCCCTAATCCAGGGTCAACAAATTTGTCTTTCTCCCCATTTGTGCCAAAGAGAGGAGCATCAAGCTCAAGAGGATTCTAAAGAGTAGATGCATATATATTAGCCTACGCGTGCATTATAAGTTTATAAACAAAGATCAGAAAATGCTTAGCTATGAGCCTTCCTTTAATTCCTCGAAGTGTGTAAAATTTACACTAGGGAATTTATATTATTGAACGGCATACTGTTCTCGTCCTAATTGGTTTGTAAAGAATATGCATCATTGATAAAATTAAGAGATTCTTGATGATAAATATAAGAGAAATGGATTCAACCTATCGTTTATCAGCATTACCATGTGATGCTACCAAAAAATAATACCTAAAAGATCTCAAACTTGATGATTGAACTCCGAACTTTGATAAACAAGAACGACCTTCAAATACCTGCAACAAAGGCAACAAGATGTGTGCTTGTCGCCCATTCGATGCTTAAGTCAGATAGGGAATTTAGTGCGTGAGGCTATAAACTGGAGATAATGAAAAACGTACCTCAAGAATGAGCCCAGGTTATGTATTTATAGGTGTTGATGATAGAGTCCTAGAAGGGCTTACCCATGTGTGATCCTTATCCTCGTAGGATAAGGAGTTAGTGTTTCATTCCAAGTGTTCAACCTTTGTTTGAGTTGAAGAAGGAGTCAAATAGGGTAAGGATTGTGGTCTACGTAGAATTAGTGTTTTCATAGATCGTTAAGAAGTGCGTGGCGAGTTCACATACAAACCCTGACCTCAAAGGCCCGACCTTGATTTGGTAGTTTTGGGCGATGAGAAGGTCGGGGTTAATGGGTCGAGTTCAGGATTACAAGATCTGGGGTCATCACAGGCCCCCGTGCATCGAGGTCGTAGATTTCCGTCCAAGCATGATCTACGAGTAAAGATGTAAAGGCATAGATATCTAGGAGTCTTATCACGTGTCAAGCGTTCAATGAGCTATCAGAGAACAACCTCAGATGGCTGCCGCGTACAATGTCAGGTCACGATCTTGGATGGCCGCCACATGTCTTCATTAAAGTCAGGATTAATAGACTGTTGACATTCCAAAGACCCCTATAAATAGTCCCCACATTTCAGTTTCACTTTTCACTCTCCTAGTAAAAGAAAGCTCGAGCTCGAAGATAGTGGGTTGGTGAGCGATCATCCAAAAAAGGTAAGAGTTCAGGCCTTTAAGTTTTAATTATTTGATTTAGTATTATGTCGAGTAGTAGTAGCAGTAGTACGGGGTCGAGTAAGAGTGATAGTAGCTGTCCATCCAAAGCCTCAAACCGTAGTAATAAACCTAAGGATGTAGGTACATCCCTGATCCCCATGGCCATTCCTATTAGTTCTCATACTGACAACTTGGTCTACCCTAAAGAACGACCAAGTATAAGGAACACGTGATCATTAAGCTAGCGAAAGAGTTCAGGGTTATGCGCATTTGTGATGTGAGAGCCCCAGGGCCTACTGAGACCTTGTTAGGAGCTCGAGAGGGAGAGATTACCTTTTTTAGAGACGCTCTTAAGGCCGGGCTTAGGTGGCCCCTTCACCCATTCTTCATCCATTTCTTGACCTCGTACTATTTATGTCCTGGCCAACTAGCCCCGAACAATTAGAGGTTGTTGGTATACTTCTTTATATTATGTAGATGTCTCGAGATCGAGCCTAGACTCGATCTTTTACGAATGGTCTATGATATGAAATTCTCCCCGGGGTATAACTATTTCGTTTACTTATCCACTAAAGGGGGGTTTAGAACACCTGAAACACCGAGCTCTCTTCAGTGTTGGAAAGAAAGATTCTTTTTTGTGAGGCCTCAAGACCCCAACCATCCTTTTAGCCCGAAGTGGGAAATTCCTGATAAGGATAGGTTCAACAAAGGTCATGCCTATTTCGAGGTTTTAGAGAGAGATAGGCTGAGGTTAGTGAATCACGATCCTTTGGCAGAGAAGATTGACTATCTACTCGAAAATGACACCCTCGACCTTGCCAACGTGAAAGGCCTCGAAGGTATGCTTTTTCTCTTTTTTTTTTTTTTTTTTTTTTTTTTTTTTTTTGG